TATTGTCTCTAATGATGTACCATTACTGTTGTTATTGTTGTTTGTATAGCTAGATTTAGGAACAGTGGCAGTAGGATCAGAAGAGACTTGTGCTTTACAGAGACTGCTCTTTTAGAAGTGAAAAATGCTTTAGACCAGGCAAGTCTAAGTTCGCCTAAATGCCTGTGGATAGGTCCAAACCCCATAGCAGTCAATTAGATTTATTCCATTATAAGATTTTGTTTATAGACTTCATTAGAAGCCTCCTATGGGTTTGAACATTGATCATTAAGACAAGGGCACAGTTTGCTACTTTGACCTCATACCCCAGCAGCCAAGATTAATTAGAGGGGGGGGGGGAAATCCAATACTGCCCCTCCCCAGTCCAAACTTCTTAATGACCTCTTAAGCTCAAATATTAATGAGGCAAATATGGAACGGGAATATGTAGATGTCAAATCTCAGTTTGTTACTAAAGGTTTTGGGCTCTTGTTCGTGGCTGCTGTTTTGGGACAATTCAACTGCCCTCTTTCCATTTGCAAAATAAACCTTTATTGATTTCTTTTCACAGCTTTCAGGACTTCCATATGCTTATTTTTAAGCAATTTATTTCTTATTCTTGCTTGCTGTTTATGTTGCTATTGATTTTGTGAGCCGCTTTGAATCCACACTGAGGGTTGGGGGAGGGATGTGGAATGTATGCTTTTGAAAACATAGCATTTCATTTATCTATTTCACTTATGTCCCTATCCCACATGGTGAATATCATTACCAATACTGATGATTTTAGTTTTCTGACTGCTCCCATTTCCAGTTTAAATTTGAATACCTTTATATTTTAGAGAGCTTTTTTTAGTTTTATAAACTGATGAGTTCACAAGGAAATGTGTGTGTGTGCACGCGCACACATGCTGCACATCTGAATTTTGCCCGTATTGTTATCCGATGGCTGCATTCTTTCTTCTATGATATAATAACATATAAACTGCATTCTTAAAAAATGAGACCAGGTATGTTGTGATCAGTGGTGGGATTTTTTTTTTACTACTGGTTCTGTGGGCGTGGCTTGATGGGTGTGGTGTGGCTTGATGGGCGTGGCAGGGGAAGGATACTGCCACTCCAAGGGAAGGTTACTACAAAATCCCCATTTCCTCCTGATCAGCTGGGACTCGGAAGGCAGAGAATAGATGGATAGAGGGGATATTTACCAGTTCTCTGAACTACTTACAATTTCCACTACTGGTTCTCTAGAACTGGTCAGAACTTTCTGAATACCACCTCTGGTTGTAACGCATTTAGTTTTCCCTATCATATGGCTATCATGATAAACATTCCTGGCAAACCTTTTATTCTAATGTTACCCTATTAGACATGGCCAAAAATTGCTAAACCTTAGTTTAGCTTAACTCCTTCCTTTATTGGGCAGATTCATATAATAGAGTCTCCCAATGGTGCAGATCCCCGAAGCTTGCAGATATGCATGTAAGGACCTTCAACCAAAATTGCACTGATGAAAACAATAAAAACAATAATGAGAACATCATTTCAACAATGGTGAGTGATCCCATGTAGATGGTATAATTTACTGTTGAAGAAGTAGCAATATTGTAGAACTACAGCCCTCAATAGCCCTATCCAGGATAGCTAACAACAGAGAATCCTGAAAGCTTTAAATCAGCAATATCCGAGATCAGCAATGTGGCCATCTTTGGATAACAATGTTAGATGATGAGACCCAGATTCAAATCTCCCTTTGCGTGGCCAGTCCTCACCTCCTAACTTACCAAAGGATATAGGGAAATGGAAGAATCATGGATGTTACAAATGATGGGAAATATAGCCTTTACTATAATATTTAGATGTAACTTGGTGGTATTGAATCGTGGTAAGATGTTTCCACTTTGAAACCTTTGTAGGCTCCCAGGAAAAAAGCTGTTCAATTTAGCTGCTCTTAAAATCTCTGTCTTTTAGAACTTTACTTGGACAAACATACCACTGAACTCAATGTGATTTAATTTCCAGTAGGTTTGCCACAGTTCGTGTATCAACTATAGGAACATAACTGTGTTCTATATGCAGAAAAGCTACTATATTTGAGTGAAAGGCAGGTTTGACCTAGCTAATTATCCTTTCAGACTCTCTCACAATTTTTCCTTCATCAATAATTTACTTGCCAAACTGTGGAAGAAAAATTGTACTTATAAAACGAGGAGACATGGCTTAAGCCCTGCTCAAAATAATTTATAAACCTATATACCGTAATTTAATTTACATTGTAGACATTCCATAGAAAATATTTCTATATGATGGAAGTTGTTGTCCAAAGTATAGATGGTAAATACCTTATAGCTTCCAGACAGATTTGCAGAGAGAAAGAGAGGGAGGGAGGGAGGGAAAGAGATTTCCAACTAGCCTGGATTTAATTTAATCAAATATCCTCCAGTTAATTAAATCAATATAAATCCAATGTCTCTGGTATGAATAGCTTTGTTAACATGTTGTTAAAGATGCTACTAATTCTAAATATTGTTTAATATGAGTGCTTCCACAAAATTACAAGGAAGGAGAGAGAGGAGGGAGGGAGAGAATGGGAAGGAAGGAGGGAAGGAGAGAGACTTAGTTTGTCTCAAGTTTGTCTTAGCTCAAGAAGGGGTTTCCCCAAAATGTGGAAAGTAAATTCAGATTCTCATTAGCCATGAAACTCATTGGTTTACCACAGAGATAGGGGATTATCATATTTTTACCTCACAGTGTCAGTTTTTTTGACAAATGTGAGATAAAATAGCTAATAACAACAATTACCACAACAAACTGAATCTTAAAAATAAATCTATTAAAATCCATGGGAAAATTTGATTGATTTCATTGGTATAAGCAAAGAATGACTACATATGCATCTAATCCTATCAGTATTATTATTCTAAACTGTATTTGTGTCATAAAATTATAAGCAGACAAAATAACAGTTATCTGCATTCATTTGATACCCTTTAAATTTTCTTGAAAAAGTTGCTACTCTGTGTGGTACTTAGATGAGAGTCAGCTATGTAATATTTGAGCTTTCAACTCTCTTCTCACAGGGGAGTTCCTTCCTAAAATCACACCCACTTCCACAAAAGAAACATAATTACCATCTTCGCCTTCTTCATTAAATGCTCTGGATGCAAAAGATGCTCATTAATGAACTTCGTCCCTTCAAGGGAATTTCTAGAGTGCCAAGCAGGCTGTTTCCATTAGCTGAGTGCATGTGGACTCTTTTCAATTTTTAATTTCATCTTCAGATGCAGGCAGCCAGAGTGCTATGTTGCCTGTCACTGGGACAATCAATTTCCTGCAAACCACAATGCAAAATGCATCTTGTAATGTTAGGCATGTGATTTCTTCTAATGGCATCTGTTTTGAAGGGAACTGAGAGCCTGCATTTCCCAGTTTATGGTTGGCTTTTTTTTTTCACTGCAAGGCCTGACAAATTTATATAAATCAAAACTTAGCTATTTGATTCTTTCTTTAGAAAGAGAAGCAAACAATCCACACCCTCCTATTCAGTAGCCTTCTTTTTCATTTTTTTTAAAAAATCACCTTTATATATAGAATATATGAGAAGCCTATGTTGAAAGAAAACATAGCTAGCCAAAAGTGCCTAGAGTTTATAGAAATGCTAGCCACTGAAACAAAGCAATAAAGTACAATTATTGGGCACAAGGGTCTTTTATCTTTACCTGATACGCAGATGGGTAGGAGATAAAAGGTCTCCTGCTTAATTTCTGTATGCATATTCACTTTCTGTTATAAATAGGACCAGGGCTACCAAAAACCAGTTGGCAAGTCAGAAAACCCATAGATCACATCTATATATATTCTAGAATTCCCACCAATTTCTTTTCAGCCATTGCGCTCCAATGAATCCCGACTGAGTTTTAAACTTCTCTGAATTTTTCAATTTTGATCTGAGCTTGTAGAAAAACAGCTAAAGGCAAAACAGAGAAAAACTCATTACGGTTGCACAAAAATATCCCCTTTCTGCATGCAGGTTTCAACTGAGTGCAGCGGCATCCAGCAGAAGGCCATAGGGTGGTCTCTTTAAACTTTAATGTTAATTCTGAATGTGAGAAAAAGGGAAATTAGTAAATACTTGAGAAAGGGGACATCATATTAACTAAACATGGTTTTACTTAAATATAAAGAAATCCAATTTGGTCTGGTTCTCCCCCTTGCTATTCCAAAAGACCAAAGGCTGAGCATGACCTTCAACAAGGAAATGTAATTGTGATCACCTGCCTGCAGCTGGTTTGCACCTGTGGATTTTCAGATGTTTCTAAGCTGACAGACGCCTGTGCCCAGAGATGTTCATGGTATGCAGACAAAGCAAATTCAGATGTATCCCCAGGTAGCAACAACAGACTGCTCTCAATACAAAAATTAAAATATCCAAAAGAACAATTCAGCCATCACGAAGAAGAAGAGACCAAGATAAATTGGTCACCAAAAGATTGTAGTCAATATTTTTCAGAGAAAGTACAGTAAGAAGGTAAAAACAGTGGTAGAGAGACAGACAAGTATACATAGCCTCTCCTATTGTAAACTGGAACAACAATTTCTTAATTTCAGAATTCTTGGCCTCTGCCTATCCTGGCCATAGATAAATAATGTTTTAAAATGATTTCAGGAATGCATGCAGCTTTAAAAAAAATCACCACCTGCCAGGATTCTGCCTTATTTTACCTCTCTAATAGATTGGTGCTGCCATAAATCATAGTGTAAATGATCTCTAGCATTTGATTTCAATGTGCAGGTGGCACTGCAAGCATTTTATGTATGTTAACAGCCTAACAAATGAATGCATTGTTATTCCTCCCTATCTCATTGTTTACATGGAACTAGAATTGCTTTGGTGAAATAGGCAAATTAGGCAGGACATAGCAATGGGTTCTTTATGTGTGATTTAAGTTATTATTATTATTCTTTCTCCTCATCCTATTTCTAAAGATGCACAGGTGATTTTCCTTGGCAAAACCCCATTCCTATAGATGATATTTTCGTAAAAGTTCAGATTGCCAGGGATGTTTTCGTTCTGGAAACCTGTCTGGGATTTTGATTTTGAGAAAATCCTGGATGCATTTTTCTAATTCTTCCTCAATTGAGAGCTTTTCTTTTGCTGCTTTTTTTTTGCTAGAGTTGGATTCTCTAGAGCCAGAAGTTAGAGTTCGGAGCAAGTCACTTTTTCTCCGGATTTCAGACTGCTGAAGGAGCTGCACAGGACCTTTCTTGATTGGTCGATCCAGAGTCTGTATATTGGATTGGCGAGTGACTGGGCCACAGATGACAGTCTCTTGAGGGGAGCTGGCTTCTGATTGGCTGTCACAGCTAGAGGTGGAGAGTTCATTGCAGGATGTGCCACTTTCGCCTTCTTTATCACCTTTGCCATTTTTGCAACAGCAGTCACAGTGTGATGATGACCATCGTGATGGTTCACCTGGGAGAACAAACAAAGGGAACTTAGACTTGCCAAGAAGCAGGCATGAAATGCACCTTTTCTTCTTTTTTAACCTATTAACATATTTGGATTATATAGCATTGAATTCACCTAGGATTTTGGAAGCAAGATAAATATAAGCAGTGAAATAAATAGTGGGCAATGAAAGTTTAGAAGTGTTGGAAACATGAATAAAGAATTATCTGGAGGGCTAGAGAAATTGGCTCATCCATCTTATTCTGCAATACGGCAGATGGTTTTCAAATTTTACACATGTTAGTATCAGATTAGTACAGGAAGTCAGAAACTTTGGACAATAATCAACCAAAGGTCTTTTTTTTTCACTGATATCATCCATTGATAACATTTCACTTCATACTAATACTTTCACTAGTAATATTTCTTAATACCTTTGGCGGTGTGTCAGATTTAAGATAAAGACTGCAATACTGCAAGGGAAGTTCTTGGTGTTTTACAAAAAAACTATGTATGCACAAGTTCCATTTCATTTAACAGAGCTTGCACATACGGTAGATAATTGTCTACAGAATCACAGTCAGAAGCCCCAAACAGAACTGTGAGGTTTTGTTAGCAGTGTTAAAAGCAAAGTATAAATAAAAACATCCATTTCCTGAAAAGTCCATAGATTAACAGCATAACTATATTTCCTTCTGGATGAAACGTTAAATTAATTGTGTATTTAAATATCATCAATTGTTAAACAACAAAAATTTGATTTCTCAACATGTGAGGGTCATAAAGTTCACACAGATTAAGCCAAAATTAATTCCAGCTGTTGAATATTGAGGACAATTAGGGCACAGGTTTGATAAATGAAAATGGATGAAGATGCATACATTTTGCATACAAAGGCCATTTCAATCCTTCTGTAATATTCAGGGTGATTTCACCAACAAACAAACTGGAATCAGATATTGTGGGGAAAGTGCCTCTTTAACTACTAAAAAGCGAAAAAATGGGTTCAATCTACTCCTTAATATCAATTTTTAATTTTTACATGTAATTTTTTTTACACGGAGGAGAAATATGCTCAGGCTTTATTTGGTAAAGGAACAAATATACTTTTGGTGTTAGAGTTGTATCCATTGTTGCATGTAGTCACAAAAGCTTTGTGTCGGCTCCCAGAGGCCATAAAAAGTTGTTATCAAAATTCAATACATACATACAAACATGCACAGGTATACAATTTTACCCAACCTTTCTAACCATTGGACATTTTTAAACAGCTGAGAGTTAAAAAAAGAAAACATAAGCAATTAAAAACAAATATCATTAGTACAAGTCAAAAGACCTGATCGTTCTGTTTAACCTGAATAACTAATTTATCTCGTCACAGCAATGCAAAATGTAAGCTTAATTTGTATGGATAAGGAACCATCACCATGGTTGTATTATAGAACAGCTTCTATACACCCACAGTGTACATCCAAAAGGTCCCCCAAGACTTCACAGCAGATGGTAAGAACTTGTAGAAGAAGAAAGTTTGATGATGTAAGTCGAATTTCACTTTTGTGGTATCAAATTCAACTTCGGCCTCTTAAATTAAGAGTGTTAAAAACTTGTCAACACTTAAGAGTTTATCTCTATCTTTTCTAGAGTAAATGCCTTTCATTCGATGAATTTTATTCCATAGTAAGGGAAGTAATACAGGAATGTTCTCCTACAGTGAGATTTTTTGGGGTGGTGATGGTGGATATGCTCAGGGATGTAAAATGTTCCCTTGTTGTCTCTGTATCTGTTTGTATACATTGGATGGAGAAATTTAAAAAGGAAGAATAACTTCATCACTTTCTGTGCTCTGGATGCCATGCTATCTTCCTACTGGTTCCACTCTCTGCTTTTTGCTTAGCTATAAAGTGAGGCATCTATTGACCCAAAGTTTTATGTGGGTGGTTGCATGGAATTGCAAGTAGATGTAAAACACTTTAATCCAGATGACCCATTTTAAATCACTGTGCTTCAATGAGCCAACAGCGTGGTCCTGTTACCATTTTTTTCTCATGCATATATTGTAAATCTGAAGAGGATTTACAATAATTATTTTGAATTATTTAAAAGCGCATGTAAAGCCTTGGCATACAATCAATTCTAAGTATCTTGTTCTACAGAATGAATTAATTATTTCAAGTATCCATATCATTTTCATATTTTGAAGAGATTTTACAGTAGACGCTACTTGCAGGTATTAAGTATATACATTATTTTAAAAAATCAAGTCAGGTTTGTCATTATTCTTTGTCTCTTGATCATGCTTATCCCATCCCTTCTCTTAAAAAGCCAACCATACAGAAGAAAAAGCTGTCTCTTCAACTTTGTGGTCATTTATTTATTAAACTTGCAAACAAACAATCACTCCCTTCCCACTAATACCTTTTCTGGTTCTCTGTGACTGTGACACCTGTTAACAAAATATCCATCATTTACAAAAACAGTTGGAAAACAACTTCTCTTGCTATTCATTTTTTCTTATTTACAATGAAGGAAACTGTCAGTCTGTGAATTGCATTGGTAATTTAATTGATAGACTTGAAACTCCTTCACTATATGGTCTAGGAGAAAAGTCAATAATAGTTAAATTAGATTTTTAATTTTTTAAAAAATAAATCTTCCACCACTGGAAGAGATATTACATAGAGAAGTGTAGTTAAATGTAGACCACAAAAATTTTTGAAAAACATATTTATCAGCCTTATTGATTCACAGACTCTTAGTTCAAAGATGACATTTTTACTTAGTTACAGCAGGAGAAACCTGCCACTATCTAGTTTTTATTTGCAAAAAAGAAACTGATTTAGAACATCATGTAAGATTTGTTCCAGAAAGCAACCAATAAGAAAGACTTTATTATTTCAGGAGAAAATAATATGAGCTGGATGTGATCAGGTTTTTGGCAGATAAAAAAGATTCAAAAATCTCTGTCTTATGTCCCTGATGCCAGCTTGCCACCTAACCTTGGTTCTTAGATTCCTTGACTACTGTCATCTTTCTTGGCTACTGGATTTTTTGTTGTGGATCAGTGGTGGAATTCATTTTTTTTTACTACTGGCTCAGTGAGTGTGGCTTGGTGGGCATGGCATAGCTTGGTGGGCATGGTAGGGGAAGGATACTGTAAAATCTCCATTCCTCCCCACTCCCAGGGAAGGTTACTGCAAAATCCCCATTTCCTTGGACTTGGGAGGTAGAGAGTAGATGGGACAGGGCCAGTCAGAGGTAGTATTTACTGGTTCTCTGAACTACACAAAATTTCTTCTACCGGTTCTCCAGAACTGGTGAGAACCTGCTGAATACCACCTTTGCTGTGGGTACATTTATACTTCTGATCCTGTGCTCTGTTTTGGACTAAACTAACTGAACAGTTCTCCCACAAGTCTGGAACTTGTGTGCATTTGCACAAACCAGGCATCACAAACCAGGTGTGACTGTTTGTTACTAGTACACTTTTGCAAATCAATATGTACAATGGGATGAATTGAAGCAAGCTTTGTAAATGAGTTGTCTAGTTAAAAAAAAAGAGCCAAACATTCAAACTGTTTTTGTCCTGTAGCTTGAAATAGTTTGTTGTTCCACCACTCAGTCTCTTCCAACTTTTTATGGCCATAATGGACATAATTTTAACCAGATTATGGTCTAAACCTTTTATAGTATGGAGTCAGATTATCTGAGGAATCATCTCGCTCCAATGTGGTCAGCCCATCTCAACAATCTGCCAGAAGGGGCATACTGCAGATCTCATCTCAAAGAATTTCAGTCAGCAGGTCTAGAAGGAGACTCTACCCTTCCATGGCCCCTACTCTATGGCCCCTACTCTATGAAATATTGCCATGACTATGGAATGTTCTGCCACCACCCTTTTGGCCTTCCAAAAGGGCATTAAAACTTGACTCTGCCAATTAGCCTCGGTTAGCTCAGTACGGGAGGTGGTTGGTGAATTAACTGAAAAGGGACTAGCCATTTACTGATCTTGCCTTTTATCTTGCTTTTGTATTTCAAAGAAAGACTTATATACCACTTCACAGTGCTTTACAGCCCTCTCGAAATGGTTTACAGAGTCAGCATATTGGTCCCAACAATTTGGATCCTCATTTTACCCAACTCGGAAGGATGGAAGGCTGAGTCAACTTTGAGAGAGGATTGAACTACCGAACTGGTGGAAATTGGAGTCAGCCTGCTGCATTCTAACCACTGCGTCACCACGGCTTTTTGAGGCTTTTAAATATTTTTTACATTTATGATTTTAATTGGAAGCCACCCAGAGTTGCTTTTCAAAGTGAGATGGACAGCTTTGTTTGTTTGTTTGTTTGTTTATCAAATTTTGAAATTTCCCATCTGCCTCACAGTGGATGAAAAATTTAATTAATGAATAATAGATAACCTTTTAATAGAGTAACAAAAATAATGCTAATCTGATAGAATTATCTGTTAATATATGTTTATTTGTATAATTGTATAGTGCTTATGTCATCTGGGATAGTATCTTGCTACATTGCCTTTTGCAAGCCTTTTTTTTTTAATGGCATACAGTTTTTTTTCTAAGCATCGCTGTCTTGCCATGCATCTTTAGCTTCATTATTGGTGTTTCAGCGAGAAGTCTGATTTTATTTCACCTAGTATCAAATGATTACCTTCTGATTCTGCTGAATGCAGGGTCTGATTTTGTTCCCAATGATTGTAGCTGTGGTGCAGATAACCATCCTCCTTCCCCAGCACTTCAGTAACTGCTGATTGGCAGTTCTGAGAAAGCATTAGTGCACTTGGAAGTTACTTTCAGCAGAAGAAAAGGAGGTGCTATCCAGCTGATTGGGAGGATGCCAGAGAGCACTATCTTGCTGGAGAAAGAGATCTTTCTCAGCAAGGCAGCACAAATTCCCCAAAGCCTCCAATTAGCTCTCAGGGATGTGAGATGAAGGTACACTCCTCAATAGGAAGCTGCTCCCCAGTGGTGAAGATGCCCAGCAGAAGCAAGGCTGACAGTGTGTCAC